TACTGTGACAACATGTCGGCAATCACCATGGCCCGCAACGCAGTCCTTCACGGCCTCAACAAACACATGCGGCTGAAATGGCACTGGCTGCGCAAGGAAGTCAACCGTGGAACTGTCAACCCGATCTACATTAAGACACAGCAGCAGCCGGCAGATGTCCTGACCAAGCGACTGGCTGACGAACCACACTGGCGGTGTGCACGGATGAGCGGCATGAGCAAGAACTAAGTGCGACAGAAGAGAAAACCGACAGATTGAGGGGGAGTGTGTTAATACAGAATTGAATTTTTGTATTCCAATCAGCCGGTTTTTTCCTGGGGGGGTGATTAACACTATTCTCAAGTAGCAGCTGAAACGGTAAAGCGTGTTGAGATAAGCGGTAGTCTTAGGAGCCATAGCTAGGAGAGTCCTAGCTAGGCAAGAGAGTTTAGGCGAAAGAGAGGGGTTGCACTAGCAAGAATGGGGATACAAATAGCAAACCCTAGAAGGGTTGTACTCGCTACAGAGCACCCCACTACAGGCTAGAGCATAATATTCTGACACACCCCCATAGCCAAAGTGGGGTGTAATCAGCAGAGCAAGCAAAGCAGTACAAGCTCAGGGTGGATCACAATGTCACCACACATTCTGAGCACAATTTTAAGAAGCAATAGTTTAAAGTTCACAATTATGAGCAAAGCTAGTGGTAGTCACAACGGGGAAGTGAGGAGGAGGAGGGCTGGCGAGAGGAGAGTAGATGGGAGGCGACGACTGAAGCTGCAGTCACACGGGCAACAGACGGCTCTGGTGCGACACAGTGGCTACCGGGAGTGAGTGCCCCGGAGTACAGGAGTAACAGGCTCCGCGGCTAAGACGAGCAGCAGGAGCAACGGACCCACAGGCGACGGCGCAACCGGCTCTCTGAGCTACCGGGAGTGAGTGCCCCGGAGTACAGGCGCTGCGTACGACACGACGGCAACCTCCCCTCAACCTCCCCCAACAGTCCCACATCCCTCGACACACACCCGCTGCTACACCGCTAGCTCCACTCCCCCTTCACCCCCCTAGTACCACTCCGACGGCTCCAACAGGTCCACCCCCCTCAGCGGCAGCTGCAGCACAGGGAGACGGAGGAGGAGGAGGAGCAGGGAACGGCACACAGAAGCTGCACCCCCATACCCCCCAACCCCAAACCCTAATCCAGGAGGAGGGGTGGGGTGCCTTCAGAAGGAGGGGTGGGGCGCCTTCAGAAGCACGGGGGACAGCGGGGAGGACAGGGGCAGCGAAGAACGGGGCGCCCACGGGCCTGGCACAGCCTCCCGAACCGCGCGCAGGCGGTCCGAGCCGCGCGCGGGACTGGCGCAGCCCGTACGGGCCGCGCGCGTGCCTGGCGCAGCCCGTACGGGCCGCGCGCCGGGTGTACGGGCCGCGCGCAGGCCACGACGGGCGACGGGGGGCGACGCGCGGGTCCCCGTCGCAGCGCCTCCCGGGGGCGACGTGCCGAGTGACGGGGCAGGAACCCGTCGCGCGCCTCGGGGCACACGGCGGGCAGAGAACCGCCGCACGCCTCGGGGCGCACGGCGGGCAGAAAACCGCCGCGCGCCTCGGGGCGCACGGCGGGCTGAAAACCCTAGTTTCGACGCCGCGCACCACGGGGCGCGCGGCGGACAGGGAGTAGCAGTAGCAGCGGAAGCAGTGAAGTGGGCCCACAGGCCAGGAACGTTAAGCTCTGATGCCATGTTGAGATAAGCGGTAGTCTTAGGAGCCATAGCTAGGAGAGTCCTAGCTAGGCAAGAGAGTTTAGGCGAAAGAGAGGGGTTGCACTAGCAAGAATGGGGATACAAATAGCAAACCCTAGAAGGGTTGTACTCGCTACAGAGCACCCCACTACAGGCTAGAGCATAATATTCTGACAAAGCGGATCTACTTCAATCGAGTGTTCAAAAACGCCCTTTTGCTTCGACCAATAAGAGCAGCCGATTCTGCTCAAAATGTCAGTTCGAAGTTCAAGATCTCAGTTTGACCATTCAGAGTGGAGAAAGCGGTTCGCCCAGCCGTTCAGAGCGGTGTAGTTCCTAACAGTGCTGTTCTGAACACTGTTCGACCAATCAGAATGGCATAACTAGTTCAGTGCTGTTCAGAACACCGATGTTCAGAACATCACTGTTCAGTACATTGATGTTCAAAACGCAACTATTCGAGGGAGCTGATTGGATACTGCTCGAGGAGCTTGTTCGCGTGCTCCGAACTTCCGAAACGGCAGCTTCACTGAACATGAAGTACACGCACACCTGCTCACGTGATTTGAGCGAAGAGACTCCGGCCAACTCAGCTCGCGAGTGGAGATTCGAGCTTGACTTCTCGAAAACCGTTTGAACTGATTGATCCGAGCCGTTATCAAAATGGCGCGAACTTTCCCTCCCAAATCGTGGTGGTCAAAATAAGTCTTGGCGCGAGCATTTTTCGAACGCCAACCCGCCAAGTCACGCACTGTTTTCGCAAAACACGAAATGCTCGCGCTGCGTTGACAATAGGAATTGTTTAGAGGTACCAGACAGTTAGCATTAGGTATAGCTATGGGACTACAAATATCTATGCTCTAAAATTATGAAAACATACTCTGCCACAAATTTACTCTCATACGCTACTATCAGATTTGACGTTCGCCATCGACGGACTCTCTGCCTACGCCGTGACAAGGGCTTCCGCTGTTGTAACTCTACTCTACTAAATCGCTTTTTCAACGAACTCGGACCCTTGGATAGGGGCTGACTTTAGTCAGGCACCCAAGGACCCTCGGAGGTGACCCCGAGAAGAGTCGTTTCACTCATTGTAGAACCATCAGCAGTAGGAACTAAGTGATTCTATAGTAACACGAAATTGTGCAAGGATAGGCCAGTATGCGACATGCATAGGTTGCCTACAAGGTCCATCCAAATCGTCGAAAAAGCAATTCATGCATGTGCAGACTTATTGCGATCTCGCCTGCTTTCGCACAATCGTCTCGTTCTCAACAATTGTCTCACCAAGGTTGAGACCAGTTAAAAAAATTGTGGATAAGTAATTTAACCGTTGTTGCATTTGCCTACCCATACATATAACATTATCACCTACTTCTACACAATTGCAACGCCATCGATCGCTAATGCTCAAAAGGCGCTCATTCTATGATTGGAGGCTTCAAGAGTCATGTATCACAGCCTAAAATTTTGTAGTGCCATTTGGATCCCTTGGGTGTGAGCAACACAGTTTTGATCCAAGAGCTACAGGAAAGTGTGCGAAGATAGGCGTTGGCGGAAGATTGCAATATGATGTTGATATCCTGATAGGATTTATGGAACCGTAAATAATGTCCAATATGCAAACGAAGAACCTCTAGTTGCATTTCGGTAGAGACACCCCTTGTAATGTGGTTTCTTTTCAAGGTGCATTGCAAGAATTGAAGCAAATTAAAATACAGCACTATATCGAACATAATACCAACTTCCACATTTCTGTACAGTTCCGCTGATGTTTGGAGGGCAGGGTCGAGAAGCAGATCTGCAGCATGCACTCTGGTGCTGAGTCACAGCTCGGAAACGTGTGGTGCTGTCTGTCGCTTTCCTGCACGCGGACAGGACCCTGCCAGCTGCGCGTCAGTTCTGCTTGTGCGACGCGCAGCTGGCAGGGTCGTCAGTTTATTTCGTGCGTGTCGCACCAAGAACATGGTCACGTTTTCTCTCATTTCATTTCGGGCAGTGAGCTAGAAAACACTTTTACACAAATCCGTTGCTGATGTACTGGGCCATTACAAATTTGCCGAAAGAACATTGCGGGCAACGGACATAATTTATATTTGCTCGTTTTTCAGTACAACAAGAACATAATCCCAACTCGACCAATAGCGTCACCACTTGACACCCCACCCACCCAACTACACAAACCAATAATCAACCGTCTTTGTGCCAACAGATACCAACGCAGCTGACATATATATTGAGCCATTCGTTTTGTGCATCTTGCTTAGCCTTATCGCCACATAAGCGCCAGCGAAGCAGATGCAATCTTCACCACTTTGGGCTTCCCTTCTTCCCCTGCCTTGCACCCCCCCATCTCTGAACTGAACACAAGCCATTGAGCGCATGTAAATTGAGCAAGGAAGTTGCTATCCTCGTGAACCCGTGAGAATCTATTCTCTCCTAGAGTTATCTGTAAGTGGGCCTGCTTCGTTCCTCGCTTTTCTGCCGCTAGTTTTCGCAAACGCCTTTTGCCACGTAGCCGTGAGTTTAGAAGTTTCCGAGCATTTTCTTTGTGCGTTATTTTTTACTACGTTGTTGGCTCCCCCGCCCGCTTCAGTAGTGGATCAATTGCACATCTAAAACTTATGTTATTGATGTTTTAGCCTTGAATATATCTGTTAAGGCTGGTTGTAAAATGCCCTCCAATACAATGTGAGAAAACAGGGAATTACAATCTTTTGATAGTTCTGTGCAAAGGTGAAGGATATTTTGTAATTGTGAAATGTTGATGAAAGCAGTTTTGACATTTGCAAGAAACAAAATGTAGTTATTTGAATTGAAGAAAGTAGGTTAGTAGGGTAACGAATTGAACTGATAATGCCTTCAAATAGAGTCACAAATTTAATCATGGGAAAATATATAACTCAATCTATTGTGTCAGCGTATTCAGCAGTAACGGTAACCCTATAAACTTGGAGCCAACCAGTGGTAGGCGCAAAAAGCGCTGTATCACCCCAAAAACTGAGACACACAGGGACCTTTCTCTCGTTCCTCGCCAAACTTTGGGAAGAACAAAAATGGCCAAACACTCCCACGACTGTAACCTGCCAATGTCCAAACGCGGCGCGTACGCGGTAACTGGCCAACTCTGCCAGATTACCACCCGAAACCCAAGGCTACTGTAGCAAAAATAAGGGCCGTAATCGGCCGTTCACATGGCGCTCGAAATCGGTCGGTTTTCGTCAATACGCCACTCCATTTACGGGGCACAACAGAAACAACAGTTTCACCCCGAAAACATGACTATTGTCGTCCGAAAACTGCCGCATTTCTCGCACACATTTTTCTGATCAGCCCTTGGCGGAATAGATGCTTCGCGATCTCGCGGTTCACTATAACGGGGTCGAAGTGCACGGCCTCTCTATAAGCACCTCCGATATCAGCAACGAACATGCCCTTCTCTTTCTCCCGCTCCACCGCTTTGCTCAGCCGTGCCACGGCACCGTGCAGTTCCCAATGCAGCGCTGCTATCTCCTTCTCCGGACCTAGGCTGCCCAGCCTGGACAGCAGGCTTGACACAGCGGCTCGGCAGCCAGGGTTGCTGTCGAGATTAGCACTGGGGAAATTAGGCTTGGTCACGTCCGTTGCCACGTCAGCACTCGTATCACTCACAATTTCCCCCTTTTCCTCGCGCTCTGCCAATCCCGCCGCGCGTTCCGCCGCTTCCGCCTGTAGCTCCGCCTGAAGCGTCGCCTGCGTCTGCTCCAGCGCCTGCTGCACCTTGTCGAGCAGCGCGAGCTCTTTAATGCGTACAGCGTCCTCGATAGTGCTGACGTCCATCATGACGTCAGACGACAAACGAGGGGCGACAGGCAAATGCAAAATTTGACAGGGCGAGTCGATATACTGGCGATACGCGGCGATGGACTCTTCGTGCGCTGGCGAAACTGACTGACGGCAGAGCGGCAGCCAACAGGCGATCGATGACGGCGACTAACCCAAGCACGGAGCGGACCGCGTTACGGTCGAAAAAGGAAGTGATGACGCCCGTTGCTGCGACTGTTAGAGCTATTCTAGTATCTTTGTCAGGGGGGAGTGATTGCTTGGTGGGGACGGAAATGAGGATATTGCTGGTATAGCACTGGTGTCAACTTGATCTACAAATCAGCTGAGATTGTGTCCGTAGTTTTGACATGTCAAGTTCATGCGTGTCAACCCGAAGCGTGCTTCTTTTTGCGTGTCATTTACTGTAGCACCTGTGTCAACTCAAAACGCAATTACGAAAATCAACGACGCAATCTCATTCGTTGGGAGCAGCTCGCATTCCCAAATTATCGTGATGGCTCATGCCTGCATTTTCTTTCTAGTTTCAGATAGGGGGCAGCGCATTTTAATTGGTCGATAGGGGCTCGTCAGATTAGATGCTGCGACGATTCTGGCTGGCTGGTAGGTATGAGGTTTAAGGTTTAAGGTTTTATTAAGGTCGTAACATGTTACAAACATATATACAATGTAAAAGGACTATGATGCACAGTAGACATCAACATCATGAAGGTGTGCGTCGATATACGCTATTTCCCCACCCGAGGGCGGCCACCGGAGTGAGCCATGGTTTGCATTGTATGAGTTGAAGATAATCAAGGGGGGCGAAAGGAGTTGTTCAGGAGCCAAGAGGAGCGGAGGTCCAGGTGAATAGATGGGATACCGTCGGGTGAAAAAAGGAAGAAACGGAGACGTTTGGCACGCGAAATGCTAGAGGCAGTGAGGAGGCGTTTTTTGGGGGAATGCTTGGCGCGGCGCCAGAGGAAGATTTTAAAAGCAATCAGAAACTGAGCCAAAATAAGTTGGAGGGCTTCAAATCTCGTCGTAGCGGAGTCCTGAAATTTCTTCTCGCAGCGGAAGTTCCAAATGGCTTTGGCGGCTGCACCAACAAGGAGGCTCCATGGCGCGGATTGGCCAGCGCGCGAGTGGAGGGGGAAAAGAGTGAGTTCTGAGGCGGTGGAGAGCCCTAGGTGGTGTCGGGCGACCGAGCGGAGAGCGGAGGTAATGGTAGAGGCTACACCGCATTCAAAGAAGATGTGAGAGAGGGTCTCTAACACCCTCGACGTACAGCAGGGGCAAATGCCGCGGTCATTGACAAATTGGAAGCGGGCGCCAGAGGGGAGCGAGCGGGTGTATAAGCGAAAAAGGAGGTCTCTCTGCTGGCTCGGCTGGTCCCGAAGGAAGTCATGGGACAGGTTGGGGAAGAAAGGAGGGGGAGGCCTAGGGAGGGAGGCGATCCAACGCGTGTCGTGGTCGAGAGGAAGTTGAGTGTAGCGCAGTTGACGGATATCTACAAGAGACGGGGGATCCTCTTGCAGAAGTTCTATCTTGGCTCCAAATCCTGCACCTGTATGAAGTGGCCCTACCAGCCACCTACCCTGAACACGAACGGGGGTTAGGAAATGGAGGTCCAAGTGGCGAGTGTCAACTGGGTGCTTGGAGAGGCGTGATGAGCGTGAGACCGTGAAGACGGATGTGTCAATGAAAGAAGGTGGGGAGAAGTGGAGGGTTTCGAAGACGAGAGAGGGGGGACTAGAGGGGTCATTGGCCAGGATGTACCAGTCACCGTAGGAGGGGGGGGAGGGGGGGGGGATGCGGAGATGCGAGGGTCGCCCACCAATCGGCCGGAATGGCTGAGCAGACCTGTCTGAAAATGCGTCTGCCACACGGGAACAAACGTGGAGGAAAAAGGGGTGAACTCCTGGTTAGTGAGAGGGCGAACGAGGTAGGGGTGAAGCGCGCGAAGTGGCCTACATGTAGCTCAAGGGAGAGGAGAAAGCACTCGTGTTTACGACTGCCAAAAGGTTTGCCATTAGGGTGGAGGATGGAGCGATTGAAAGCTAAGGGTTCTTCCAAAATGCATGCTGTGACAAGACGAGGGGGGAGGATGGTGGGGGAAAGGGAGATGAAGGCGTGGAGTTCGGCTATGGCGCGGGCAGGTGTTTCCGGAGGAAGGTGGTTGCGTAGCAGGATATCGGGGTGGGCGAGGTAAGCGTAAAGGCCGTACGACAGGGTGGAGGAAGAGAGGGCAATGCTTTCAGTCGGGGATGCTCCGAAACGGCGAAGGGCACGTTGGGTAGAGAGGGCGAGGACTTGTTGGTGGGGGGAAAAGGCCCCGAGACCCCCGTGTGAGACGTGATTCTAAAGGATGCGGTTTGGGATAAGGCTGACAGCGAGACCGTATTCTTTGAAACGAGAGGAAGAGAGAAAGTTACCGACGGCAACATCCAGACGGGTGAGAATCGGAGCAGGAAAAGGCTGGAAACGAGCGGGGAAGGAGATGACCGTATTTAAGAAGATGTTGGAGAGCGATTTGCGACAAGAGGTTGTTGCGCGGAGACCAGCCAACACTTTGGACGTGCGTTGAATTTTGGACAGGGTGGTGTCCCAAGTAGTGCGACCGGGGGAGTCTTGTTCAACAAAGACACCTAGGATGCATTCAGCCTCGGCGGACGAGCGGATTGGGATGTTACCAGCATGAGAAACGGATTGCGCGGGGATGTTAAAGAGCAAGAGAGAGCATTTTGCCCAATTGGAGTGCTCCCCGGATACAAAGGCAAAAGTTTGCAAGTTGTCGGTTGCGACGCCGAGTTCGACATCAGAGTTAAGAAAGAGGGTGACGTCATCAGCGCAGCATGCCATAAGACGGCGTTGCGCGGGACATAGAGCAAAACCGGGGAGTGAGAGAGACATGTGACGCTGAAATATTTCGATGGCACAAATGAAGAGTAAAGGGGCGAGGGGGCAGCCTTGCCGTACACCGGTCCGAACAGGGAAGTCAGCGCCGGCGAGGTTGTTGACTGAGACGCAGGTAGAGGTGTTGGTATGCAAGCGGCGAACCCATGCAATAAAGGAGGTTGGGATGCCGAGGTGGGCCAAACTGGAAAAGAGGAATTCACGATCGATGGAGTCGTATGCTTTGCGAATGTCCACAGTGAGGGCGATGAGGGGTCGGCTTTTAACGGAGGCCCAGTCCATAATATCGAGAATATCGTTGATGGTGTCCCCGATTTTGCGGCGTTTTATAAAAGCTGTTTGGGAGGGGTGGATGATGAACGGTAGGGCTTGTTGGAGGCGGTAGGCAAGACAGAGGGCGATGACTTGGTAGTCCGAGTTCATAAGCGTGACAGGGCAAAGGTTATCTAGCAAGGAGGAGTCACCCTTTTTGGGAATGAGGACTGTGCGGCCGCGAAGCATCGACGGGGGAAGGGCAGGTAGGGGAGAGGGGGAAGACGTTAGCAGGGAAAGGAAGAGCAGGCAAAAGTGAGCTTTGTGGGTCCGGTACAGTTCGCTTGGGAGGCCATCAGGGCCGGGGGTTTTTCCTTTAAGAAGGTTGGAGATGGCACGGTTAATTTCCGCTAGAGTGAACGGCGCATCCATGCGTTGTACTAGATCTGGGGGGAGGAATGATTTGGGGATGTGTTGCCAGAACTGAGTGTCCTGCAGGATGGGTTGTGATCCGCTGTAGAGTGAGCTGAAAAATGATGTGCATGCTGCAGTGATGGCAGGGAGATGGTCGGTAGAGGCTCCTGAGGGAAGAGTGATTGAAGAGATGAGGGAGGCCTTGATGCGGGATCCGAGGCCGGCGAGGAGGGGGGAAATTCCCATCTCTATGTGTCCTTCCACTTTCACTTTGGCTTTGAAGGCAATCTCAGCCGCTTTGGTAGCTTCGTATTGAGCGGGTTGGTGTTGGGCCTTGGTAAGGGCGGCCATTGTGATGGGGTTAGGGGCCTATGGGGCCGATTGAAGCAAGAGGTTGCCGATCAATTGCTGGAGGAAGGCAATAGTTTTGGACACGCAGTTCCGTTCATGATTGGCGAACTGCTTGAGACGGAGGGTAAGGTGTAGTTTCTAGCGATCCCAGTCGGCAGGCGAAGGATTGGAGGCAAGAAGGGAGGCCTCTTCGGCAAGGAGTTTGGAGATGAAAGGGCGTTTCAGAAGAGAAGTGCTTAGGCGCCAGGGGCGAGGGGCCATGGCGGGGTTGTTGAAGGAGATAGCGCAAAAAGGTGCGAAGGTGTGGTCCGAAATAGACAGGGGAACGAGGGCGTATTGGGAGGCAGAGACATGCGAGGCAAGGGAGTGAGAGATATACATGCGATCAAGCCGGGAGGCTGGGGGGGGGGCGGCTGGGACAGGGACGGAGGAGCGGGGTCTACCGTGAAATTAGAAAAGGGTGGTGTTGGGGTGAAGGACACGAAAGGTGTCGACCAAAGAGTGCGGAGCAAGGATGCTGGTAAAAAGAGAGGCCTCCCCGAGTTCGTGGCCGTGCAAGGGACGGTTACGGTCGGAGGCTGCGTCAACCGAGTTGAAATCACCAGCTAGGATGGTACCGGCGCTGGAAGATGGAGTCTCGAGGGCGGGTTTGAGAATATGGCGCCACCAGAGTCGTCGGTCGGTGGCGTGCGAGAGGGCGTAGATTGCAAGCAGGCGAAGTTGCTCATGTAGGTGATTAATGTGCACCATGAGAAGACGACCATCGGGGGACGCTTGATGAGAGGAGATGCTCACTGCTTTGTTTAAGAAAAGAATGGCTATACCGCCTGGGGGTGAACGGAGATGCTCGTAGGGGAGGGGGCTTGGGCGTGCGCGGATGGGCGGAGTTTGAGTATGAGTTTGTTGTAGCGGCGGGTTAAGCGGGTGTCCACGAGGATTAATATGTCGGTACGTTCGAATTGTGTCGAGATCCAGCTACGAAGGGCGTTCATTTTGTGAGGTTGGTTAAAGCCCGAGTACAGCATGGTTATTTTCAAGTTCAAGATTCTTGAATTTGAATTCGTTAAAAACAGGGTTACCCTACTTTGTTTGACGGAACTCTCGCGACCCTGGGACAACGCCTAGCGACACTCTCTCCTCATTGGCTTTTGGGCACAATCGCTAAACAGAACCGAACGTCGCTCAGGGTGGCCCACTGTTTGGCTCACATATCTTGAACGCCTAGTAGTACTCACGACCGGCCTAGTCCCTTAGTAAGTAGGAAGCCAGTGCGGCATCAGCAGCTTCCCTTAACTCACGTCACTCATGCTGTCTCGCCAATAGCTGGGCAGCACAAACCTCGTGTCGCTATCGATATTTACATACGTTTTCGCGTCACTCACACCGAACGTGTGAGACAAACGAGTGCTTCACCATGCTACCCCACGTTTAGCGCGCGTCGCCACCCGCGCCTGCCCTCGCCACCCGCTCCTGCCCTCGTTACTCGCACAGGTCCCGGGATAGAATGCCTCCCCTCGCATGCGCTTCCCTTCGTCACCCGCCTTTCCCTTCGTCACCCGCGTTTCCCTTCGTCACCCGCGTTTCCCTTCGTCACCCGCCTTTCCCTTCGTCACCCGCGTTTCCCTTCGTCACCCGCCTTTCCCTGCGTCACCCGCGTGTCCCTCGTCACGCGCGTTTCCCGCGTCACGCGCGTTTCCCTTCGTCGCGCGCATTTCCGCTCGTCGCGCACGCGCCTTCTCGTCACGCGCGCTTCCCCTCGTTGCGCGCTCTCCTCCTCTCGTCACGCGCGTTTCCCCTCGTTACGCGCTATCCTCCCTCGTCACGCGCGCTTCCCCTCGTGACGCGCACTTCTCCCCTCGTCACGCGCTCAACCATTCACTCGCGATCTTCCGTAGAACCCTGTGTAACAACTCCCCCATACGCCCTCGCTCCTTCCAGCCGCAGTGAGTGCATACTGATGTCATGGGCAGAGCGGGAGGGACACAGGGGGAAGGACACAGGTGTAGAGACAGAGGGTGAAGGGCCGAGTGGGGGAGACAGAAGGGGAAGGATGGAGGGGGAGGAACAAAGAGGGGAGGGCAGAGAGTGCGAGACGAAGGGTGAGAGCGGTTTCTTCCCTCACTCCCTCTCCCCATCGACCTCAGTTCCCCCGAATTGTTTACACCCCTCTTTATTTTGACCGACCTCCCTTTCTCCCACCAGCTCTATTTACCCCGCAATGTATAATCCTTTGCCTCACCTGCTTCCCCCCTCCCTCCTCCCTGCTTCCCCCTCCCTCCTCCCTGCTTCTCCCCTCCCTATGCCCTGCTTCCCCCCTCCCTATGCCCTACTTCCCCCCTCCCTATGCCCTGCTTCCCCCCTCCCTATGCCCTGCTTCCCCCCTCCCTATGCCCTGCTTCCCCCCTCCCTATGCCCTGCTTCCCCCCTCCCTATGCCCTGCTTCCCCCCTTCCCTATGCCCTGCTTCCCCCCTCGCTATGCCCTGCTTCCCCCCTCTCTATGCCCTGCTTCCCCCCTCCCTATGCCCTGCTTCCCCCCTCCCTATGCCCTGCTTGTTGTAATTCCATATTGTATACAACATGCATAGGCTAGACTTAGATGTGTAGCAGTCTTATAAATTGGGGGGTTGGTTAGTGTACCCTCCAACCACATTTTGTGGTTGGTGGGGATTGGTCCTTACCTCAACCAATCCCAACCAACACACATTTTGTGGTTGCTTGGGCCACAAGCAAACTCACCCATTGGCCAACTTATTGGCCAATAGGGTAAGCTTCCCTCTCATCTCTCTCTTGCTCATTGCTTGTACTAAAGAGCCTTTTGGCTCATTATCAGTTCAACAATTCTTCTTTCTCACATGGTATCAGAGCGAATGGCTCACGCCCTACCACGATCCTTAGGACCGTCCTAACATGTACCTCTCTTCCTACCCGGCCAATAATGGCCTCCCTCCCTGTGTTTCCTTAAGCGCTACCTCCCGCTTCACGTCTTAGGCGCTATCCTCTCTCCTGCGGACCAGATCCGCCCTCCCGCGGACCAGATCCGCCCTCCTGCGGACCAGATCCGCCCTCCCGCGGACCAGATCCGCCCTCCTGCGGACCAGATCCGCCCTCCCGCGGACCAGATCCGCCCTCCCGCGGACCAGATCCGCCCTCCTGCGGACCAGATCCGCCCTCCCGCGGACCAGATCCGCCCTCCCGCGGACCAGATCCGCCCTCCCGCGGACCAGATCCGCCCTCCCGCGGACCAGATCCGCCCTCCCGCGGACCAGATCCGCTCTTCCGCGGACCAGATCCGCACTCCCGCGGACCAGATCCGCCCTCCCGCGGACCAGATCCGCCCTCCCGCGGACCAGATCCGCCCTCCTGCGGACCAGATCCGCCCTCCCGCGGACCGTATTTGCCCTCTCCGCGACCTACCTTTGCGACGGCCGCGATTTCCTCTTCAACGGCCGCAATTTCCTCGTCAACGGCCGCGATCTGCTCGACGGCCGCGTTCTACTCGTCGACGGCCCAGATCTGCTCGTCGACGGCCTAAATCTGCTTGTCGACGGCTCAGATCTGCTCGCCGACGGCCGCAACCTGCTCGGCGGCCGCGGTTTGCTCGCTGACGGCCGCGATTCACTCGTCGACGTCCCCGATCTGCTCGTCGACGGCGTCGATCTGCTCGTTGACGGCCGCGATCTGCTCGACGGCCGTCATTAGCTCGCCAACGGTCGCGATCAGGTCGCCGACGGTTGCGATCTGCTCGCCGACGGTCGCGATCTTCTCGCCGACGGCCGCAATCTGCTCGCCGACGGTCGTGATCTGCTCACCGACGGCCGCGACCTGCTCGCCGCACGGTCTCCTTTGTTGCGTGCATCCGCGGCGACTCTGCCTGTCGCGCGCGTCCGCAGCAGGCCTCCTCGTCCAGCGCCTCCGCATCGCACCTCCTCGCCCAACGCGTTCGCCGCAAGCCTGTTCGTCGTCGTCGTCCTCCCGCCCTCCAACCACACCGCGCCCCCTCGCCCCCCTCTCCTCCCCCTCTCCTCCCCCTCTCCTCCCCCTCTCCTCCCCCTCCCCCCCCCCCCCCTCCCCCGTTCGTCCTCCTCCTGTTCTCCCCAGCAGCAGCACCAGCAGCAGCACCAGCAGCAGCAGCTTGGGGTCACAGCAGTATGGGCAGCAGCTTCTCCTATCTCAGCTCCAGCAGCAGCTCCAGCAACTCCAGCAGCAGCTAGACCTCCAGCCGCAACTGCCCCTCCTCCCTCCTCCTCCGGTATCCCAGCAGCAGCCCTTTCCTACCTGGACTGCTGGGAGTGCTGCCTCTGCAGCCCATCTCTCGGGTGCATCCCCGGCGCCGTCTGCAGGTGGCAGTGCGACCGCTTTCCCTTCCTCTGGTTTTGTTGGTTTATTAGGTCAACCTGAATCTGTTGCATCTCCCATGTACCCTTCTTCTGCTAATGAAACGTCGTTCCAGTACTCTGCCTCACCTTCCTCCACCATTGACTTCGTTCTGGACAGTGGAGCCACTGACACTGTCCTTCGTGACGCTGGTACACTGCGCCCTCTCCCCACACCAACCTCCCTCCTCGGCGCTGATAGCAGTTTTTCCATCCCTTGTCACAACACCTCCACCCTTCCCTGTCCTCTCTTTCCCTCAGGTACTGTCACCGGACTCCACATTCCCTCCCTTCGTACTAACCTCCTCTCCCAAAGGTCCCTCCAACAAGCCATGATCACCACTCTCATCCCAGGTGGTGCTAACCATTGTGACCTATACCAAACCTCCACAGGTCGTTTTCTCGCCCGTATTCCCTATTGTCCCCGCTCCCGTCTGTACACCCTTCGGGTTCCCCGCCCCCTCACCTTCCAAGTTGCCTCCCCCTCCCTCCTCCCCCCCCCCCCTCCCCTCCCTCCCTCCCACTAACCCACCCCTCCCACCCCGCCCTCCTGACTCTGACTGTTCCTGTCGCTCCCTCTCCCACCCCACCATCCTCCTCCATCACAGGCTAGGTCACCCCAACTTCGCCACTCTCCGCTCATCTGTCTCCTCCGGTCTCCTCCACGGTCTCCCCTCCTCCCTCCCTCCCCTCCCCAAATCCCCTGCACCCCCCTGCACCGTCTGCGTTCAGAGCAAGCTCAAGCAGCAGCCGCACCGGAGCTCCCCCTCCGCTGCTGCTCAGCCACTTGATCTTGTTCACATGGACCTATGGGGCCCTAATCCCTCTCCCACTCGCCAGGGCCATCGCTACCTTCTCGTGCTTGTTGATGATCACAGTCGGTACTCGTCCGTCTCTCTTCTTCGGACAAAGGCGGATGCCCCGGCTGCGATCATCGCCTGGCTCGAGCGGGCAAACACCCATTTTGGGCGCCCTGTTCGCCGCCTTCACTCTGATGGAGGTGGTGAGTTCCTTAACAACCAAGTCTCCTCCTATTGTCAGTCTCGTGGCATCCTTCAGACTTACACCCTCCCTCACTCCCCACAGCAGAACGGTGTGGCTGAGAGTCGTGTTCGAGAGATCACCAAAACAGCCCGGTGTCTGCTTGTCCACGCCTCCTGCCCCCCTTCTCTTTGGGGCTACGCCCTCCTTCATGCCGCCCTCCTTACTAACCTCTACCCTCACCCCCTTCTCCCCTCCATCACCCCCACTGAGCTTTGGACGAAGGTCAAGCCTGATGCCTCATCACTTCGTGTCTGGGGCTCTAAGGCACATGTCCTTATTCACCCCTCTGACCGCTCCCGTTCCGTGGGAAAGCTTGCCCCTCGTACCCTTCCTTGCGTCTTCCTTGGTCATAACCCCTCCTCCCCCGACTACCTTTTCCTCCACCCCCCATCCGGTCGTCTAATCCGCAGCAGGGATGTGGTCTTTGACGAGTCCACTCCCTACTACTCCTCCCCTCCATCTACTGACCCACTCCCCCCTCTCACCCGTCCCCTTGTCTGGTCTGACACCACCCCTCCCCCACTACTCCCTCCTCCCCCCATCCTCCCACCCTCCCCCCCTCCGCCGTCCCAGTCCCACGGTACCCCTCCCTCATCTGGTGACATCTTTGACCCGGACCATTTGTCTTCTCCTGTCTCCCCCGCTCACTCCTCTCCTAGTGCCCCCCTTCCCCCCCCTTCCTCTCCCTCGCCACCGACCCATCCTTCCCCTCCCCGCACTATACTCACCCAGTATCCCCACACCAGGTCACGTGACAGCATTCTTGGTGCACCACCTCCCGTTACCCTCTCTACCTCTACCCTCCCCCCTCTCTCCCCCCTCCTTCGTCACTTCTTCCAGGCTGTTTTGCATCAAGCCCCTCATGCAACAGCCTCCTCAGCCACCTCCTCTCCAGCAGCGGCACCAGCAGCGGCACCAGCAGCGGCACGAGCAGCGGCCCCAGCAGCGGACCCCGCAGCGGCACCAGCAGCGGCAGCAGCAGCGGGACCAGCAGCGGCAGCAGCAGCGGGACCAGCAGCGGCGGCAGCGGCAGGAGCAGCGGCGGCAGCAGCAGCGGGACCAGCAGCGGCAGCAGCAGCAGTACCAGCAGCGGCACCAGCAGCGGCACCAGCAGTCATCCGCGCCTTCCACACCTCCCTCTCTGAGGACTCCCATGAGGAGTTCCTTGACCTCCACCTTTATAACCCCTCGCTTCTACCCATCACGTTCGACCTTTCCGGCACACCTGTCTTCGCCTTCTCCTCTGCTCCCTCCATTTTCGTTCCTACCACGTATGAAGAGGCGATGGCGTGCCCTGACGCTCCACTATGGCTCGCCGCCATCATCAAGGAGCTGGAGGCTTTTATCGGCAACTCCTCTTTTGTTGATGTGCCTCGCCCTCCCGCCCCTACGAACGTGGTGAAAGGCAAGTGGGTGTTTCGCGTCAAGCAGCTACCAGGGGAGCCGCCCGTCTATAAGGCTCGTTACTGCGCCAAGGGGTTCACGCAGCGGTATGGTTTTGACTTCTTCGATACCTTCTCCCCCACTGCCAAGCCTGCTACTGTTCGCGCCGTGCTCGACCTCGCCGCTCGCCTCAATATGGAGATCCACTCGATGGACGTTTCTAACGCCTTCCTGCAAGGCGTCCTCCGCGAGCTTATCTACATGGAGCGTCCAGCCGCCTTTCACCTCCCCTTCCCAGCAGACTCTGTCTGGCAGCTGCGTCGACCTGTGTATGGGCTCCGACAGGCCCCGAGGGAGTGGCATGCTAAACTTGCCGCCACCCTTGCTGAACTTGGGTTCCGCACCTCCCGCTCTGACGCCAGCCTCTTCCTCCGCACCTCCCCCTCCCCATTTTACATCCTTGTGTATGTCGATGACATGATTCTGCTCACTGCCGACCTTGGAGAGTTGGAGCGTGTTAAGGCTGAGTTGGGTAGCCGTCTCAAGTGCAAAGACTTGGGAGAGCTGCAGCATTACCTGGGCATGACCATCACCCGCGACCGCTCCGCCCGCACCATCTCACTCTCCCAGGGTCATTACTTGCAGCAGGTCTTGGAGCGGTTTGACATGGCCCGCGGCGGCGCCCAACCTACACCTCTTTCTGTCGGGCACCACCTCTCTCCACCCACCTCCCCCTCATCGTCCTCCCATCCTTATCCCGAGCTCATTGGCTCCCTCATGTACGCCATGGTCTCCACTCGCCCTGACCTTGCCTACCCCATCAGCGTCCTCGCTCGGTTTGTTGGCGCTGGCAAGCATACGGACGAGCACTGGCAGGCTGCCAAGCGCGTCCTCCGGTACCTTCGTGGCACCAAGGACTATGTCCTTACCCTTGGCGGCCCTTCCCCACCTCTCCTCAGCGGCTACAGTGACTCCTCCTGGGCTGATTCCCGACCAGATCGTCGCTCCTCTCAGGGCTATGGCTTCTCTCTTGGCAGCGGCCTCATCAGCTGGCGTTCCACGCGCTCCTCGGCTATCGCCCTCTCGTCCTGCGAAGCCGAGTTGTATGCCGCCACCATGGCTGCACAAGAGGCTCGCTGGCTCTCCTTCCTTCTTGAGGAGCTTGGTGCTTCCCAGCGCTGTCCCACCATTTGGTGTGACAACGCCAGCACCATTCACCTCACGAAGGATGCTGTGTTTCACGGGCGCTCCAAGCACATTGAGCTCCGTCATTTCTTCATTCGCGATCTTGTTCAGGCTGGGCACCTTCGGCTCGATAAGGTTGACTCCGCAGCCAACCTTGCCGACATCTTCACGAAAGCTCTTCCGCATGCGGCTCACTCTTCACTGATTCGTCTCCTTGGCCTTACTCCTCCAAAGTTGGTCTCCACTTCTTGATTATAACCTTCTAGCCTTATGCATGTTGGGGGGTTGTGTTGTAATTCCATATTTTATACAACATGCATAGGCTAGACTTAGATGTGTAGCAGTCTTATAAATTGGGGGGTTGGTTAGTGTACCCTCCAACCACATTTTGTGGTTGGTGGGGATTGGTCCTTACCTCAACCAATCCCAACCAACACACATTTTGTGGTTGCTTGGGCCACAAGCAAACTCACCCATTGGCCAACTTATTGGCCAATAGGGTAAGCTTCCCTCTCATCTCTCTCTTGCTCATTGCTTGTACTAAAGAGCCTTTTGGCTCATTATTCAGTTCATCATTCTTCCTACCCGGCCAATAATGGCCTCCCTCCCTGTGTTTCCTTAAGCGCTACCTCCCGCTTCACGTCTTAGGCACTATCCTCTCTCCTGCGGACCAGATCCGCCCTCCCGCGGACCAGATCCGCCCTCCTGCGGACCAGATCCGCCCTCCCGCGGACCAGATCCGCCCTCCTGCGGACCAGATCCGCCCTCCCGCGGACCAGATCCGCCCTCCCGCGGACCAGATCCGCCCTCCTGCGGACCAGATCCGCCCTCCCGCGGACCAGATCCACTCTCCCGCGGACCAGATCCGCTCTCCCGCGGACCAGATCCACTCTCCCGCGGACCAGATCCGCCCTCCCGCGGACCAGATCCGCCCTCCCGCGGACCAGATCCGCCCTCCCGCGGACCAGATCCGCGGTCCGCGGGAGGGCGGATCTGGTCCGCGGGAGGGCGGATCTGGTCCGCGGGAGGGCGGATCTGGTCCGCGGGAGAGTGGATCTGGTCCGCGGGAGAGCGGATCTGGTCCGCGGGAGGGCGGATCTGGTCCGCGGGAGGGCGGATCTGGTCCGCAGGAGGGCGGATCTGGTCCGCGGGAGGGCGGATCTGGTCCGCGGGAGGGCGGATCTGGTCCGCAGGAGAGAGGATAGGGCCTAAGACGTGAAGCGGGAGGTAGCGCTTAAGGAAACACAGGGAGGGAGGCCAATATTGGCCGGGTAGGAAGAATGATGAACTGAATAATGATGAACACTGCTTCCCCCCTCCCTATGCCCTGCTTCCCCCCTCCCTATGCCCTGCTTCCCCGCTCCCTATGCCCTGCTTCCCCCCTCCCTATGCCCTGCTTCCCCCCTCCCTATGCCCTGCTTCCCCCCTCCCTATGCCCTGCTTCCCCCCTCCCTATGCCCTGCTTCCCCCCTCCCTATGCCCTGCTTCCCCCCTCCCTCCGCCCTGCTTCCCCCCTCCCTCCGCCCTGCTTGCCCCCTCCCTCCGCCCTGCTTGCCCCCTCCCTCCGCCCTGCTTGCCCCCTCCCTCAGAGAGGTGAGCGTCACACACCAAGTGAGCATTGGCTTTCCCGATATGCCCCTCCCCGTATCACTACCTTATCATCTCTCCTGTCCCTCCCCCATGTGCCTCTCCTCTCCCTCCCATGCACCCCTCCTCTCTCGTGCACACCTTTGCCTCTCCACTCCCTCCTGCTCCTGCTCCTTCCCTCCCACTTGCCAGGAGCACGACCAGGAAGCCTTGCAGGTGGGCTACAGCAATGTGTGAGGCGTGAGTCTGTTGCGCTTCCTAGTGGACCATCTCTTCCCTCCATCCTTACCTATCGGGCTCATGGGTTTAGCATCTTACGCCAGCAGCGCAATCATCAAATGCCTACTTCAAGTAACCAGAGAGTAGCGTGCTGGTATGTTTGCGTCTATCCAAATCGTCAGCCCCGTCGCCTGAGCGTCCGTGTCGCAGACGCGTCACCTGTGCTGTTGGCAGCAAAGCACGCCACGCCGTGGCATGGTGGTGAAAAGCAGCATCCCATGCCTCACTCACATGCTCATCATCTCTGAGGTGACATTAGAAAGGACTCAGAAGTCCCCCCCACACACCACCCGCCTTCCCCCCTCATAGCCACCTCCACAGCCCCCCACACACCACCCGCCTTCCCCCCTCATAGCCACCCGCTGCATCCGCCTCTTCCACCTCCCCAACCACCACCTCCTCCTCCACGTCTCAATTCCATTAGTATAGCGATCCAGGTGAGAATCAGTTCGGTGTGGTGTGGTGATGCGTGGTGTATTGAGGTGTCGTAGTGCGAAGAAATGCTCAGTCAGAGAGTGGTGAAGGGCATCGCAAACACCAGGTACCATCACGGTGGGTGATGCTATGACGCTGTGAATGATGTGCTGGTTTGATGGTGTGCTCAGTGCCTCTTTAGAACATCAGAGCCATCTTCAGCATAACACAAGTGCGCCCTTCCCAAAACCCTCTGCTTCACCCTCAGGGGATGTGAGTGTGCCCGCCAGCAGGCCCCTTGTTTTTCCCGCTTGCCTATCCACCCAGCCACGCCTCTCCCACTCCCTCCCTCACCACCTGCTTCTGTACCCCGCTTCTACGCACGCACCCACTGCCATCCCCCCTTCCCTCCAGGTCCCTCTTTCATCCTCGAACCCACTCAGGATCTGAGTGCGCCAGCCAGCAGCAGCACGGTACTGCTGTTGAGAGAGGTGGGGTCTTACACCCAGCCGCTCATCCCTTCCATCACCCGACCATGTCCTCCTCCAACAAACAGTTCCCACCCCACCATCATTTTTCCCCTAGCCCACCCAACCCACTCAGGAAATCTGTGCGCTCGTAAGCATGCTGGTGTTCGGGGATGATGAGGGTCCAGATGACAACATCTCTTATAGACGCATGAGGACCAAAACTCCACGCAGATAGCGATCGCATTGATTGCTACTGGGGTTGGCATTACTGTAACTTGTCGCGTGCAAGGTGGACCTGGCCAGTTCACAGGGATAACTTGGGTCGCACGTGTAATTGCCTAAACTGTCAATTGCAACTAGAATATGTGCAAGGGGCCATTCAAGGTGTCGCTATGCAGATTGATACACACTTATTTCCATCCTAGCACATATAGGTTTAGGACAGAATGGCATAGTCCACTAAACCCACTCGAGCATGGCATGATCAAGACCACAGTACCGTCATACCCCGGATATACCCCCATGGGGGGCAATAATAAAACAGGTTTTTTTAGGGGGGGTGGGCTTATAATCGAGTAAATTTATAAGCGCCGGCGTTTATAAAACGACATATATATTTTATATATTTTTTAACACCAAGCTGTAGATCTCGTGCTTGCCTTTTTCAATCGAGTCGAAGTTACATGGGGTCGTCTGTGAAATTCTTGCGCGCGCTGGAGATACACCCACTCTGACAGCTCCTGACAGCTTCTGACAGCTTCTGACAGCTCCTGACTGCTGACTGGACCCGCATCCAGTGCAGGGCTGACGTTTCAAATTCGACCTCCCTGATTTGGGGGAAAACTTTTCCCCTCAATTATGAGTGCACATTTTTCAGAAAAATGCTACCCTGATTGCTCTGGGTTGAGAAAAAATTAACTCTGATTGTTCAGGGTCGAAAATTGAACATCGAAATAGTAATGCGCCCTTTGTTACCGGGGAAAAAATCTCGGTCTGCAACAGGCTGCGCTCTGTGTTTCGGGCACACCTTGTGTTCGCTAAATTCCACCAATTTACTTTTCTTTAAAAGTATTATCCACATGTTTTAGCGCGGGGAAGAGACGAACGATTTCGGTCAACCAAACAGCTCGATTCGAAATCACAAATGTGCCAATTCTTGAATTCGCCGATTACCTGAATTTCGCCAACATCGCTGTGGGAAACGCTAAAAATATTTCGGCAACTTCACGCTATTGCGATTTCGACAGTAAACGACCTATTCGAATGCCATGAACAAAACAATGTTTGAGTGTACTTGCCTGACAGACATGCAGCTGTCCGTCGCTCACGCGCTGGAAGTACCGCGATCAATGCGAAGACAGGGTTATCGATAGAAAACTTCCGAGAAACTTCCTCTCGATAAGGTCAAGTTCAGGGACCATAGGGTCGATACTCTGTTAAGTCAGGGTCCACTAACAGACTAGTCTGTTACACTTTACTCAAAATCAGGGATAGAAAAACTGTTACTTTGATTGGATCTGGGTTGAGAAATAAGTGATTCTGAAATTTCAGTCTCCACTAAGTGGAAAGTCTGAAATCACCATGAAATCAGGGTAATTACCCTGATAAAATCAGCCCTGATCCAGTACAGGGTCCGAATGTGAAGGGAAGTGAATCTGCAACACATCCCCCTGCTAAAGTAAATATCGTTACAGTGTTTCGAACACATTTCAAAATTTAAAGTTTACGTGCGCTTATAATAAAACAAGTTTTTTCAGGGGGTGCGCTTATAATCTAGCAGCGGATATAAGCGCCATGCGCCAATTAAAAGCGCCAGGCGCTTATCCGAGGGTGGCGCTTATATCCGGGGTATGACGGTAGCAAAGTGGGGATGTAAACACAACCCATTCACTCATCCTGGCCTGCCACCCACACTTCCACCTCCTCCCCGTCATAGCGGCCTTCTACCCACCACTCATCACTATTGTCTCTCCACTCTGTTAAACTGTATTATGCTTGTAGGCTGTAGTGGGGTAGCCAATATGGGGTACAACCCCAACTAGGGTTTCATATTTGTACCCAAACTTCTGTTAGTTCATCCATTCTTGCCTAGTAATTCTGACATGGTATTCAGAGCAGGAGGTCCCTAGGACCTACCGACCGTTTTTTTTTAAGGGCCCACCACCGCTCGCATGCGGTTACCACGCTACCCCGTGCCCTAGCCTCGTAGCGCCCTCGTGCGCCCTCGTTAGCGCCCTCGCGCGCCCCTCGTTAGCGCCCTCGCGCGCACCCTCGTTAGCGCCCTCGCGCGCCCCTTCGTTAGCGCCCTCGCGCGCCCCTTCGTTAGCGCCCTCGCGCGCCCCTTGCTAGCGCCCTCGCGCGCCCCTCACTAGCGCCCTCGCGCGCCCCTCGCCGAGCCGCCCGCTCGCAGCCCGCCCGCCCGCTCGCTGCCCGCTTCGCGGCCCGCTCGCTACGCAGCCCGCCCGCCCGCTCGCTGCCCGCTTCGCGGCCCGCCCGCTTCGCAGCCCGCTCGCTCGCTGCCCGCTTCGCGGCCCGCCCGCTTCGCAGCCCGCTCGCTCGCTGCCCGCTTCGCGGCCCGCCCGCTTCGCAGCCCGCTCGCTCGCTGCCCGCTTCGCGGCCCGCCCACTTCGCAGCCCGCCCGCCCGCTCGCTGCCCGCTTCGCGGCCCGCTCCGACCGCCACCGCCACCACCGCCACCACCGCCACCGCCGCCACCGCCGCCGCCGCCACTACTGCCACTGCTTCCGCCGCCGCCCCCGCCTCCACCACCGACCCCACTCCCACCAGCGCTCCCGCCACCGCTCCCTCCAGCACCGCCTCCCCCCCCACCTCCCCCACCTCCTCCCCCCCCAGCGCCACCACCACCACCCTTGCCCCCCTTGCCCTTGCCGGTGCGGCGCCTCCCACCAGGAGCAGAAGCAGCGCCAACAGACTCAGCACCAAGGAAGTCAACAGCAGCAGCAGCAGCGTAGGAGGGAGCGAGGGGAGAGGGAGAACACCCCTCAAAGATGGGGGTGCGAGGAGCGCCACGAGCAGCACCGACAGCTACAATGCTCTTTTCGGCCGCGAGCAGGTGCTCCTCTAGGAGGGCGACTGTGAGCTCAGTGGGACAGCGAGCAAGGGGGTGCTGGGCCTGGGGGTGCTGGGGCTGCAGGTGCTGGGACTGAGGGTGCTGGAGCTGAGGGTACGGTGCCTGAGAGTATGGAGCCTGGGGGTGCTGCGCCTGGGGGTGCTGAGCCTGCGGGTGCGGGGCCTGGGAGTGCTGGGACTGCGGGTGCTGGAGCTGAGGGTACTGTGCCTGAGAGTTTGCCGCCTGGGGGTGCTGCGACTGGGGGTGCTGAGCCTGCGGGTACTGAGCCTGCGGGTACTGAGCCTGGGGGTGCTGCTACTGAGCCTACGGAGCCTCGGGTTACTGCGTCTGGGGGTGCTCCGGTTCGGGGTGCTGAGCAGTCTCTCACACCGCAGCAGCTTCGCGACTGGTACGTCCGACGCTTTCGCCGTCCTAGTGGCTCGGCTGGAGTTTGGGGTGCTGGAGCTGCTCGTCCTGGGGGTGCTCGTACTGGGGGTACTGGAGCTGCCGGGACTGGCTGTTCTGGGAGCACTGTGACTGGAGCTGCTGGAGCTGGGGACTCTGGCGCTGGCGGTGCTAGCGGAGTTGGAGCTGCCGACTCTGGGGGTGGCGCTGCTGCTGGTGCTGCGGACCCACCTGGTGGAGCTGCTGCTGGTGCTGACGAGTCGGACGGTGGAGCTGCTGCTGGAGCTGGGGACCCGGCCGGTGGAGCTGCTGCTGGTGCTGTGGACCCGGACGCTGGAGCTCCTACTGGTGCTGAGGACCCGGCCGCTGGAGTCCCGTCTGCTTCTGGAGACGCTGCGCGGCCGCGACCGTACTTCGTACCGCTCCTTCAGCAGGTTCTTGGGCAGGCTCCTCCTCCTTGTCCTCCTCCCTCCGTAGAGTGTCCTCCGCCTGTCCAGCCGCAGTCACAGTTACCGCCTGCCTCGCCTCTCCCTGCTCCCTCTCCTTATACTGGTCCCACAGGAGGTCTTACAGAGCGTCGTGAGCCTGAGTCTCGTCCTGCGTCGCCTGTTCGTCCTGCTCGCACTGGTAGTCGTGTCCGTCGTGAGCGTCCTCCTCCTGTCCCAGGCACTCACTACATGACTCTGCGTCCCTCCACTGCTCCTCGGCGTGTCCCTCTACCGTCTCCTCCTGCGTCCTCTTTGCCTGCCGTTCCGGACCCTGAGTCTGACCGGTATCGCGCTGAGCACCCTACAGTCACGCGTCTCCTTGCTACTGTTGTCACTGACCCCACCTTTGAGTCCTCGGCTGCGTCTGCTCTGGT